TGTGTGTGTGTGTGTGTGTGTGTGTGTGTGTGTGTGCGTGTGCGTGCGTGTGTGTGTGCGTGTATGTGCGCGTGTGTTTGTGTATATTTGCTGAAAAAATTTACTACCTGGAAAAAATTTTACTACCCAGCAAATCAAACCCCACACCAGCTCGAAAAAGGGAGTTCATTTGCGTCATCACTAACATATATTATCATTACATAATATATGGAATGAAAATAACACGCAACAACGTCCAGTCAACAAAATGGAGGATAGACAGACGATCGTAAGCTTGCTCACCGCTAGATTTAATTTCAATTTTCGTAATGTTTTTACAGCGCTCGCAACTGCACAAGGTCATATGAGCGACAAGGGGTGGATGTCACCAGAAAAACCAAAACAGGCAATCAAGCTTACTCTGCTCACCCTTCTAGCCTCAACAGCACAAAGTCTGCTTCGGCTATCAAGGCACTCCGGAAATAGTGGGACACAAGAGTGACAAACATACAGTAAACGTAGAGGAAAAATGACGATAGTAAAGATGAGAAGTAAAAGCAGCAGTTCCCCCTATGTTGTTACGGCACAGTATTAGCATGACATTGATAAATCAGCCCATACTTACAATTCTACGGTGCATAAGAGCATGTTAATACCCCTCCCCCACTCCTGGGAATGGCCTAAAGTTGCTTCAGTCAGTAGCACTGGTTGGGGGGGGGGGGTAGATTTAGACCTAATGTGTGCACACAATGTGACTGCCAAACCGGCTTCTCAATTTTCCAGGGGGTCATCCATTTTCCAGGGGTATGTTACTAACAACACATACACACAAACACACACACACACACGTAAAATATACCAAGTCAACAACATGTCAGTGTTGCACTGGGGTCTTGTTTGACTTAGCCTAAGTATTTCAGTGGGCTATAAATTTTTCTCTCATTACATTTTTTAAAAACGAATCCTGCTTTGAGCGTTCGGAAGGGCCTTGAACAAGAAATTCGACGGTCAAGAACCAATCTGGGTGTCATGACTCATAATATTATGAACATGAAAGACAAACATTACTGCTCAAACTCAATAACTTGAATGGCTCCAGTAGACCCACCCAGATAGACAGTTGTACGAACTGTGGAAGGGAAAGATGCAGTGACATTGAAAATCTGCCAGCCTTTAACAGAAAGCTACAATATTGTTATAATTTACCATCACCCATCCAAAGTTTTTGTCCTCTGGTGTTGCCTTCAGCACCCCCGCCCTCCTCCTCCGAGTGCATCTTTTTAAAAAAAATCAATAATCCCCTATCCCATTCAGTAGTCCTAGGCCTATGCTTCGCAACGCTCAGACATGTACTTTGAAGGAACATAGGCGACCCCAACAACAAATGCCGTGCTCACGCGCGCAGGTTCATTGGCCGGTCACGATGACGGGCCCGACAATCTAAAAATCCGACGACGCTCGTACTTTTTTTTCTTCCCCCTCCCCATCCCCTCCCCACGTGACAGCACAGAGACGAGTCCAAGTACTGATTAAATTTTATTTGCGCGGCGCACAGCGTTTAGATATACATATTAGATATCTATACTGCACAACCTGCTTGTCACAAATGTTGCGTTAGTTATAGATCAGTCCATCGCCGGAAAATTTCTGAAAGCGAAAGTAGATCTTGATTTTCCCGATCGAGCCTCGGTGTCACACACACTTTCGCCTGCCGCCATAGCCGCCTTTTCGCGTGAAATGTAGATCTACTCTCGGACGGGGAAAAGGTGAACGGATGATATCGCAATAGCGACCGGCAAAAACGGAGTCATGTACCGCTGCTTGGGTTAAATGAAGACTTGCTGGCTTCATCACTCGGTACGCAGGTTAATGTACGACTGTTAAACGTTTACTACTTTCACGGCGCATTTATTACCATTTACGAACTTTACGACCAGGGCGCCGAATTTGCGACTTTTTAAAAACGACTTTACGGCTTTGCTGGACACCCTGATTTAACTTTGTGACCGTCTCTTCAACTAGGATTCCCGAACGGATGGTTGGAGGGCAACACTGATTGGTTTTACTCCTTTATTTTCACTCTTGTTATGTCTGTCTGTCTGTCTGTCTTACTTTGCCCCAGCATTAATCATTATTGCGTCGATGTGTTTCTCTTTACTCAAGCAAACATACATACGAACAAACGAACTAACGAACAAATAGGAGCCCTGGCCTTGGAGGTAGTGGACGCGGGGTATTGTGGGATGGGGCAGGGCGGGTCAAAAATGTCCGTTATGGAATTGGTTAATGGCGTTGGTTACTGAACCCGGGGTTGGAGAAGCGTTGTCGTCCAGGCTGTCTCATAAAATGCTCTCTCTCTCTCTCTCTCTCTCTCTCTCACTCTTTCTCTCTCTCTCTCTCTCTCTCTCAGAAATGCATTATTTCCGGAAATGAACACTAAAAAAGACCCCAGTCCCCAAAATTATCCTCGCGAGCATGCCGTCCTTTTTTCTAAAACAAACAACTCGTGCCCATGCCGTCCTTAAAAAAAAAACCCAAACCCCTAAAAGAACAAAAACAACAACTCAACCCCATTAAAAACAAAAACAGCACACAAACAAACACCAAAACACCCACGTATGGTATCTAAAGCATAAAACTTTCTAGTAGAGATGTGCGCAATGTAAAAGCAATCTTTAC